GAGGATTAAGTGAAAGATGGCGAAAAAATGAGTTCCAAGGTTGATCAATTAAAACAATATTCGCGTGATAAGTAACAAAACCTAAATCGTATTTTACACTTTGATCCCACAGGAATAGAGCCCTGCAGGTTACGCTAGGAACAGGACAGAGCAGGGTAAGGTTACGAAAACTTTTACAGGGCAGGTTGCAGGTTATGTATGTCGTAACCTGTCAACCTGCGACAAATTTTGCATATCAGATATTGTCAACATCTTTTCTAAAGTTATACATAAAGAAAAGAATAGAAGTAAGCTGATAACCAAATTAAAGTGTTTGCCAAGATATTTAACAGAAATAGAAGGATTCTCATGGACGTACAAATCTAGAAAGTTTCATGACTTTCGTGAATTTTATATCAAAAACACGAAAAAAAAGAGGTGATTTGATTGGTGAACCGGACATGAAAATTGATGTATTTGAAGTCCGTTGATTAAAAGGAACATTTTAATAAAGCAAATGAAATGAATTTGATTTTTAAACAAAATTATCTAATTATATTAATGAAAATTTCAATTTTAATCAAAGAATCTGAAAAACATCAATTTTTATGTTCGTTCCATCATTCTAATTTTTCATTCAATACTTGTGTATCATCAGCATCAATATATGTCGAAGCTAAATCTGCATCTATGATTTCATCAGCTTTATCGATGGATAAAAGCAAATCATTAAAACGTTTTTCATTCGATCGAAAATATTCATTTTCAAGTTCATGTTGACGATAACGAAGCTTGTTAATAATTGATTGAATTTTATCTAATATTTCTGAAACGTAATTCATATTATGAAAACAATTCTTCATTAACAAATTGTGAATTCCATGATCAACACAAAATATATGAATAACATTTAACAATCTCCAAGCTTTGCGCATATTTGCATCTTTATCCAACACCTAAGCAAATAAAGTGACACTAGTTTCTGAAATTTTGATGAATAAATTTGCTTACTACAATTACACTATTTGGATTTATACCAAATTCAATTAAAACATTCGATACAAGATCTTTTATTGATTCACCTGTATGAGCTTCATTAAATGGTTGCGTTCTTAAACTATATTTATGTAGCTGCAACTTTAAATCCAGAAAATGAATCGTAATGTAAATATACGAACGATGTTTATACTTGTCAGTCCATGCATCACATGCTATCGTCGGGTAGTTTGTTAATAACTTTATTTGTTCTTTTGTTTTATCAAGACATACATTATAAATTTTATTAAGATTCAGAGGTGATAAGGTAGTTCCTGATGGAATATCATATTTCGTATTAACGATTTTGTTAGAGATTAAGAAATCTTGGAAACCTAAACATAAAAAAAATTAATAGTTGCATAACAGCTTCTCTAGGATTTCCTACCTTCATTTTCAACAATTGAAAATGGAAGAAGATCTTTACAACACATTAAAGTCAATTGATGTCCGAGTTTTTCTTTCAGTTGTGAAGAATTTGTTGTGTCACGATTACGTGCAAACATTGAAACAATATGTTTATTTGTTTTCTTTATTGCTTGTGCTTCTGTTATTTGATGCGTTGCTAACAAAATGGTTCCGCATATTTCCTGTACTACTTGTTGCACTATAAGTGCCAATTTGTCTTCGACCTGAAGAAAAACTTGCATCAGGATATTCTTGTTTTATTTTTTCAAAGCACACTTTACAATAAATTCGGTCAAGATCTAATGCTTCCTTTGGATTTTTGTATAAATGTCCAAAATAATTTCAGATAAATGATGGTCTTGGTACATTGGGTAGTTGTATATGAATAAAAAGAGTTTTATTTAAATCATCAATTCTGTCTAAGTCAAGTGGCATGTTGATCTATGATTAAAAGAACCACTACTATAATTAGAACAGATAAATAACAACACCAATATCATCAAAAAGTAATACTCACCAATAAAGAAAAATGAATCAATAACAACAACAATATCGATCAGTAAGAATCAAAACCAAACAAACAACAACACCAATATTATCGATAAATAAAAAACACTAATGAAGAAAAAATGGATAAATGGCAATATTAGTATTATCGATAAAAACCACCAGTAAAGAATAATAGATAAATGACAATATCAATATTATCAATAAGCAATACTTATCACTATAGTTAAAATAGATAAATAACAACACCAATATTATCAATAAGTTATACTCACCACAAAAGAAAAATGGATAAGTAACAACGCCAATCTTATTGATAAATAAAAACCAAAACCAAATAAAAACAAATAAATAACAATACTGATATTATTGATATATAAAAACTGCTTTTGAAGAAAAATAGATAAATCACAACATTAGTATTATCAATAAGTAATACTCACGACTATAGTCAAAATGAATAAGTAACAATGTCAATATTATTGATAAGTGGAAATCATCACTAAAGAGATAAAGATAGATAATAACATTACTATAATTGATAAAGACCACCAGTAAAGAATAATAGATAAATAACAATATCAATATTATTAATAAGTAACACTGACAACTATAGTTAAAATGAATAAATAACAACACCAATATCAGCGATAAATAAAAATCACCACTAAAGAAAAATAGATAAATAACAATGCTAGTATTATCGATAAGTAAAACTCACCACTAAAGAAAAAGAGATAAATAACAACACTGGTATTATCGATAAGTAAAAACTTTCTAGTAATATCAATGGCTAAAAGAATATATGGATCGGTAACAGTTCTTTGATTTTTTTACTTCTAACACAGAATTTCTCCTGCTCATCACTCTATGCACAACATAGATGATTGGTTACAAAGTTGACTGATGAAAATAACGTAAAAATTTTCAATCACATACGTATAGATGTCAGTGGCGGCGGCTCAGCTGGATGGCTTACACCTCTAGTTATACCTTAAACATGTGTAAATACTTTTGATACGAATTTGACTTTCATGTTATGAAATCTAGATATGAAATTGTCCATTTTCGCCGAAGACAAAACATCATCCAATGTGAAATTTCGTCGAGCGTCAGGATAGAGATAGACGATAACAAGATTGTGTCGGACGTTTCGCTCTACATATAATTCATCTTATTTTTGAGAACATCAATGAAGCTTTAGCAAACGTAAACGCCTATACATTATTAAATTATGATAATTTTCAACTGCAAACAAATGATTTTGCATGCTATACAATGATCAGATGTATAAGCCGATACATTGATCTACAGTGGAATTTATTGTAACTTTTTTCGATCGGTGGCGGCTAAAGGTTTTCGATAATTTTTTCAAAAATTTTCTTAGCTCCGAGAAGTTTTGAAATGAAAAAAGTAAAAAATAGTAGTAGAGAATATATTGGCAAGAAACGAAACAAAGATACTCCAGAAACTGTTCCTGGATGTCCAAAACTTTCAAAAATGTGGCATCTATTTTTTTCATGGCAGCTCAATCGATCGGCTTGTCCGACAGTGATGCACCTCCCTAGACTAAATTCGACATCGTATCTTGAGCACAGTGATATGCTTATCTAGCGATAGCGCTTAGAAAACATTTCTCCATCTGTTGAATTCCGTGCCGTATGTAATTATTGAGATCCAAAATTCTTTCAAACAGAATACAGTAAAATCTCTATTAGTGGACACCTCTACATAATGAACACCTCCCAACTCTGAACATGAACACGATTTTTTGGTCCCTTCAGCACAGATAACCTCTATATAGTGAACACACATTGAACAAGGTATGCGTGTGTTTGTGAAACAAGAGAAAAAAAAAGAGAACACAGCGTTCAGTCTGGCACGATGATAGGCTAACTCATTGACGGTCTATTCATCACAAAAAAATTCGTCGCGTGTATGGAACAATGAAAATGTATAGTTCACAACAAGTTGATCAGTCATATATAAATGAATATCACACTTTTCTATTCACACAATTGTAAAATGACGATACGACACACATTGACCTTCTCTGAAAATGGACAGTTGATTCTTGGAGATGAAGAGAAATTTTCATACTGTACGCTTGTCGACAAGTATAAAAATATTTTTTTACTTTATGTCATAAAAATTGAATAAATATATGTAATAGATAAAAAAAATACCTTTTTTTTTTACTTTGTGCTAATTGAAGTGAATTCGAATAGGAAAGATGTGTAGTTATCAATCGGTCATACTAACCATGCACGACATACATATAAGAGTTCAGTCAGTGTAAAACCTTCATATAATGAACATCTCCTTTATTGAACACTTTTTGGAGGGTCCCGTTGGTGTTCACTATAGAGACGTCTTATTGTAGTAGAAATCAATAAGTGTGACGAATAGGTCTGCCCTCGAAAATTTCCAAACTAACACGTAGAAAGGTTAAAAAACAGCGTAAACGCTTTGAAATTTGGAAACCTATGATCGAAAAAAATACAAAGTGACATCTATTAGATTTTATTTCAAAACTATTTAATATCACATAAATGAAAAAGTACGAGTGAAACATGATAATAAAAATTACATTAGTATGAAAACAATGTTATTTCTATCTTTCTATTGTTCGATTAATATGTATGTTTTATTATGTAACTCTATCGACTAAAACATTGAGTTTATAAAGAAAAATACAATACATTTTGTGTCCCATTCAATGCATAATCCAGATTGACAACTTGTCCTTCTATTTCATCCATTTTCGATTCTAATGTTGCCATTTTTCGTATTTTTTCCTCTGTATTCATACTTGTGCTACGTTCTATAATCTGTATTTCAGGTAGACCAATAGTACTGCCATTTAGACATCGTTGCTTTTGTTTAATTTCATGAATAATACCTATGGATCTATGTAATTTTCTTTCCATTTGAAGATATCGCATAGATGATAATGGTGTCTTTTTCGCTTTCCAAAACCATGTTTTCCATGCAAATTTTATAACATTTGCTGCTTGATGTTTATGTTCTTTGGCTAATTCAGTATTTAAAACAAAAGTATGCACATAGTTTTCCCATGGGGTTAGTATTAATTTTCCTGTAGCTATGGCAATAAAAAATGACATTGAAAAGACACCAAATACACCACTTAAAGCACAAATAGCTAATAATAACGACAAAGCTTAGTTATTTATACTATCACTCATAGAAAAAATACATCACTTACTTCTTCCACAATAGGTTGATGGCGCCAAGTTTGAATATCCAACAGTACCAAATATTGGAACGAACAACCACATGGCATCGGTTAA